CCTGCTGAAAAAGTTACACAAACTGTCTTTTAGATAAAGAGTGCTCTTTTATATTTCCTATTCACCAGTGGAGCCAACTAGGGATTAGAGTTAGAAGGATAATGAACCCCGTAGGAAATCCCAAACATAGAAGCAGGCCAAGCCCTTGCGCAGGTGGCTGCTGATGAGCCCTGTATAGAGACACAGGCATCCCTGAACCTGGAAGGTCCTGCGCAGGTCTTGTTTCACTTCCCCTTTCCAGACTTATTTCCCATGACTGCCCTGAATACTCCTTCCACTCCAGGCAAACAAACCTTTGCTTTTCCACCTCTGTGCTTTTGGTCACCGCCCGTGCTGTGCTTTGCCCACACCTCCACGTTATATACGTCTTTCCAGGTCCACCTCTGATGCTATCTGATCTCTTCCAGGTGAAAATAATTTCCCCCTTTTCAATATGTCCATAACCAATTATTTGTACCTCTCTGAGCACTTCATGCTTTCTACCCTGAGCTCCCTTTATTTGGATATATACCTTATATGTTCCCTTCTAGGCTACAGGCTCCTAGAGGGCAGTGGGCATGTCTTACATGTTTATATTCCAGATCACAACAAACGCTGAAGCCTGTATTGCTCCAACAGAGCAGAGGAGGAGTACTTATTTCTGAGGTATTTCTATTCAGTTGCGATTCACAGGCTGATAATGTTTATGTGCTATGAGAAGGGAGCAGGAAAACATTTATTCATTTCCTTTTGTTCCCGCAATTCCAGTATACAGGAACACAGACTGAATTGTTAATGCTGTGAAACTCCTAAAACTTAAAGCAAGTCCAGAGTTCTGAATTAGCGGGAAAAAGGCAAGAAGCAATGCGACACCTTCTTTTACATTAATGGTGTTCAAAGACCAAGAAAATGTTAGTACATATTTTTAGTCCTCTTCACGGCCTTTGACAGCCACAACCTGCTGTGCGCTGGGGACTGACAGTGGCAACTGCACAGAGCCTCCTCCTGCTGTAAGGCGGCAGCCTGTCTAGCTTGTTTGCTGCCTACCCCAGTTTAATCACCAGCTCCCCAGAAACATGCTGCCCTCCATCCTTCTTTGTGGGGCCCTTCCCACTCCCTGCTGTGTAACACCTAACACGCATCACAATGTTTTACCTGCTAGCCCACGACTTGTGTGCTCCTTAAAGATACAAGGGGTCTCCTGGGGAAGGGTTACCTAGAGCAATTTTTTTTTTTTTGCGGTACGCGGGCCTCTCACTGCTGTGGCCTCTCCCGTTGCGGAGCACAGGCTCCGGACGCGCAGGCTCAGCGGCCATGGCTCACGGGCCTAGCCGCTCCGCGGCACGTGGGATCTTCCCGGACCGGGGCACGAACCCGCGTCCCCTGCACCGGCAGGCGGACTCTCAACCACTGCACCACCAGGGAAGCCCCCTATAGCAATTTTTAAAATGTCATAGTACATGTTAAATCCAAGTCAAAATGTTTTAGGATAGCAAAAACCTCCAGATGTATCTAAGCCGGTTGTTCATATTTGAGGCTGGAATCGTACTAATAAAATAACAGTGCTCCTTGTGACTGTATGGACTTACCTCTTTGGTAACACAAGGAAGCAGCACTGCCATATTACAGAACTTCACAGCAGTATCTGTTTGTTCAAGGTCAATGTAACACTAGAAATGAAAAAATAATCAATATGAAGCGTAATCACATTTTTGTGTAATGAAGTCAAAGTGATCTTAAAACTGTGGTCTTCCTTACCTTGGCCAAGAACATGTAATTGGACTTAGAAAACCCAGGCTGTAGTTCTTCGACCTGATTTTCAGAGAAAACAGAAAACAGAATAACAGGGAAATACTAAAACAATAAGTAAAGTAGATATATTTCAATAAATCAGAGACTAACCAAATTGCCCTAAGAATTTAGGATGGTTGTGCCACATGTGAATCATTTTATTAGCTCAAGTATCCTTTGGGTAGAAATATAGCTTTTGAGCTTATCCATTAAAATAGAATTATTATTGTGGTCATAAAGCTTACAAAGCAATGAGATACTTTAAGATTTTGTATAACCTTTGTTATACAAAACAAAGGTATAACCATCCTTTGTATAACCATCTTCCTCACTTCCCCTTCTCTATCTTCTGTGTTTTTTCTTTCAGGGACAAAACAACTGGTGATACACTCTCCCCAGGACAAGTCCCTACAATCTCTTTGGGAAGCACGAGTAGAACGTGACTGATATCACATGGCATCTTCCACTACATTAATATTTGATTTCTTATGATCTCAGCACACTCCATATGAGCTGAATAATAACTGAGGTCCATCACATCAAGTTCTTTCAAAGAAAATGCAGATGCTTAAAATAACTAGTCCAAGTAGCAGACCTCCTTGCGGATTTTAATAAGTGGGTATTATAAAGGTACTTTACCCCTCATCTACTAATGTCTTATGTACCAGTTCCTTTTCTCTATCGCTGGTAAATAAGAATTCTGCCAGGTATATGGTGTTGCTACTAGAGAGCTCTTCTTAGAACCTAAGTCAATCTTTGCATCGGAGCCAGGTTTTGCTGTTGTAAAGGTCTATGCAAGGAAGCTCCCAACCCGACCCAGCCCCCAACACAGAGGGACACAGAACCCAAAAGAAGGATACTTTAAAAAAATTTATAAAAATATGCTTGTTTTACAACACGCTAACAATCCAGACATTTCCAAAATTAAAAAGTGAAAGTTTCTCGGTTAGAATCTTATTCTCAATTACGATCTCAGCCCCCAGGGGTAACCACTACCAACAGTTTGACAAATGCATCCTACAGACATTTTACCAAGCAGAGGAACCCACCCCCTCCAAAGGGAACTGATTTTTGAAAAAAAACTTTTTAATGGGACCATTTCCTACATATTGGTCCAAAACTTTTTCCCCACAACATACCAGATACATTTTTGTGTTCACATACAAGATCTCCCTCATTGTTTCTAAGAGCTGCATTTCATACTACACATATACCATAATTAAATTAAGCGTTCTCCCTTAGACATTTAGACTTATTTTTCACTATTACTAATAATGATCAGCGAACATACTTGTTCCTATATGCTTGTGTGCATGTGATTACATGTGTAGGAGAGATTCCCAGAAGTTGAATTGCTGAGTCAAAGGATACATACATTTTAAGGATGGATACTAATGGAGGGGAAAGCAAGACCTAGGGTGCTGAGGAGCATTCCAACACCTTACATCCCTTGTAAAGGCCATTTACTCTCTACAGAACCCCAAAGAGAAGGGTCCTGGGAGGAAGAGGAGGACAAAATCTCTTGGGTTGGGAAGCCAGACTGGGTGTACCTCTTTCAGACCGAGCAGATGAACAGCGTGTGGATCTGGCCTAGAACCTGCTAGTTAAACAGCAAGGCTGCGAACAGACTAAAGGAAGTCCAGTCCTGGCCAGAGTCTTGAAAGTCCTATAGAGCCATCCATGGTGTTGATGGGTTCTGGTCCTCCCACTTCCTCTCTACTTGTCCAGTTATTTCCATTGTAACTCTCTGAGTTTACTAAGTGCATTTCTCGAGCCACGCTAATGCAATTTTTGTATATTTACAAAATAAATAAGTCACAGGTATGAAATGTATGGTGTGGGGAATATAGTTAATAATTATGTAATATCTTTGTATGGTGACAGATGGTAACCAGACTTAACGTGGTGATCATTTTGAAATGTATAGAAATATCGAATCACTATGTTGTGCACCAGGAACTAACATAGTGTAGCAAGTCAATTATGCTTCAAAAACAAACAAACTCATAGAAAAAGAGATCAGATTTGTGGTTACCAGAGGTGGGGGTGAGGGTGTTGGGAGGGGAGAGGAATTGGATGAAGGCAGCCAAAAGTTATAACTTCCAGTTATAAGATAGATAGTACTAGGGATGTAATGTGCAACAGGATCAATATAATCAACACTGCTTATGTTATATATGAAAGCTAAGACAGTAAATCTTGAGTTCTCATCACAAGGAAAATATTTTTTTTCTATTTCTTTAATTTTGTGTCTACATGAGATGATTGATGTTCACTAAACTTACTGTGATAATCATTTCGTGATGTATGTAAGTCACATCATTACACTGTACACTTTAAACTTATATAGTGCTGCGTGCCAATTATACTTAAATATAAGTGGAAGGAAAAAAAAGGACCTAGAGTAACTTTATTCGATTGTACCTTCTATGTCCAGTAGTTGCCCCAGTTCTGAACAAATCCTATCTAGATAACTTGCCCCAACATATGCACACAGCAGCTTCTTATTTCTTTAATGTTGGAGTTTTAATTCTGCATATACACCTTAACACTTACGTCAAATTAACCAGAATGATCATAAATCAGAACATCTCTTTTTGTACTCATGGTTAAAAAAAAAAAATGTCCAAAGGAAGAAAAGTCCAAAGGAACATAGGCAGGCTACTAACAACACCGAAGTCCTAAAACGGAGCAGATCCTGACCTTTGCCAAAGGCCTGAGCTCAGTAACAAGGAAGGCAGTGTTACTCAACAGAATGTTCTGATTAAGGGGCAGTTTCTAGCTATGCTCTTATAACACCATCATAACACCTGGCAGAGAATACTGTACCTGTTTACTTCAAGTTGGTTGTCCAAGTTCCCTCGAGGCAGGAGCTGTGTTGGTCATTTCTGTGTTCCCTTCATTTGGACTAGGTATGTGCTTAATAAACATTGCTGAATAAATTAGCTTTGTTTTTAAAACATCTCATAACCTCGTGCAGCAGCCCTCTGTCATATCAAGGCACAGAAGACAGCTCTGCAGCTGGTGGAACCACTAAGGAAGACTCAGGGATCATGTGACTGCAAACAGTGAGTGACATCAGGGTAGCCAACACTGCCACACCTGTCATTTACTACACACACCGATCCAGTGGTTCTTAACCATGCCATGGGCTGCACATGAAGGACCTTGAGAACTTTAAAAATGCTGATCAAGCTTTAAAAACACTTACCATATGACCCCACAATTCCACTCCTAGGTATTTATCCAAGAAAATTTAAAACATGTCTACACAAAAGCTTGCAAATGAATGTTCATAGAAGCTTTATTCATAACAGCCCCAAGCTGGGAACAACTAAAACATCCACCAGTAGGTCAATGCATAAGCAAATTGTGGTATATGCATATGATAGAATATTACTAGGCAAACAAAAAGAACTACAGATACCCTCAATAAAATGACTGCATCTCAAAACATTATGCTGAGCAAAAGAAGCCAGACACACACAAAGTACAAACTCTGAGATTCCATTAATACGAAATTTTAGAATAGGCAAAACTAAGCTATAGTGACAGAAAGCAGATCAGTGGTTGCCTGGGGCACGAGGCAGGGGTAACTGACAGCAAAGGGGCAAAGACAGCTCTTTAGGGTGACGGAAATGTTCTACACCTTGAAATGGAGATGGTTATGTGAGTATACTAATTTGTCAAATTTCACTGAACTACACAGAAAATGGGTATATTTGATTATATATAAACTATACCTTTATAGATTCAGAGATTCTGAAATAATTAGTCTGGGTTGTGGCCTGGGCTGGCGTTTTTTAAAGCTCTCCAGATGATTCTAAGGTATAGACAAGGTTAAAAACCACTGACTGAGGGAATCATGCCATAATTTTGGATGAGGTGGGAAGCATGCTATAGCTTGAAAAAATTCCAGCAGGGGATTCACAGATGACTCCTGGTCTAAAACCACCGCCCTAGATGCTTTGAGACTGTGGAGGACCAGATCTCACCTGTTATATGAGCAAAATAATAGCAACATTTATTTTCAGTTAGTGCATTTAATGTGCTAGACCCTGGGCCAGGAAAATTACATGCATTATTTTATGTAATTTTCACAAAAATCAGATAAAGCAGGTATTATTATGCATGCCTACTTTACAGATGAAAAATTTATGACTGGGAGAAATAAACATGCCCATGTCATACATATAGGAAAAGGTTCGGGTCTCAAACTGTCTGATTCCAAAGCCAGTGCTCTTGATCTCTACAGGACTGAACTGGATGGCTCTGGGGACTCATTCCTGCGAACCCTCTTTGGAGGCATGGAGTGGGTGCAGAAGTTCTACAGTCTGGGTTCCAATGCCGTGACTCCCTGTTGGGACCAGGGGGTTGCAGACTCTCCTGGGGTGTGGGATTCAAGGTATGCGCTTTTCCACTCCTCCCCGTCCCAGATTTCTTAGTTCGTCCACGCCTTAGCCTCCTCAGTACCCTCAGGTGTTGCAGTAAATACGGGGAGAAGCATTCCTGATGCCTTCTCGCCCTCTTGACAAACACCATGGAACGCATTTCAGACAATCTAAGTCATAACTAAATGGTGAGGTCGCAAAGATGGTCTGCCAAGGTGTTTACATTTTAATGAAGTTAAAACTCTGTGAGCTTTTATTGAGCACTTACGAGTTGCTGGGCATTCTCTAAGCAATTTGCTTGTATTAACTCATTTAATCTTCACAACAACACTATGAAGGGTTGTTCGCAACAACTTCACAACAACAACTATAACCACCATGTTATTGATTAAGTTGAGAGAGAGAGAGATTAAGTACTTGCTCAGTGTTAATCAGCCAGTAAGAAGTAGAACTGGGATTTAACCAGGTGCTCTGGTTCTAGCGTTTGCAATCCTTACCCTACATTATTGTGCCTCTTACTACTACTTTTATCTGTGTAATACTTCAGGTGCATAAGCACCTTAAGAACTTCCGTGCAGTGTCCTGAAAACCTGACCCTCCAGTTATAACTTTGATACTATGAAAAAATGGGTTTCAAATTCAAATAAATTTTTTGCTAATGAACATAGCACCTTTTATAAATCATTTATCTTAAATGCACCATGATCTCTATTCTTGTAAAATTTAACATGGGAGAACTAATTCTCAATGGTAGAAAAAAGGTGAAGTGATGATAATGCACTCCTATCTTTGATCTGCCATTGTGTGACACTGGAAAAAATTACGTTCCTGAGGTCTTGTTTTGTTATAAAACAAAAAAGATCACACTAAATAAAAAATAAGAAACATACAGCCCTTGTACTTGTATTCCCATATTTTTTTCCATTGGGCTCATGCTTGATTTTAGAATAGTTATTTTCTCACTGTTCAGAGAAGTGCAATGCAACATATTTGCCATCTTAGATTATATGATCTCTAAACTCTCTCTCAGTTCTACAAAATCAATCCCTAAAATATAACAAAAAATATTAGCCTGTACCATATGTTGGACAACTACCAAAATCGGAGCCTGATTTTGTCTATATTGTTACAAACCTGAAGTAGGCAGGTGGTGAAAGAAAAAAAATCTTAGTATCTATAAGATTCCATAATTGGTTCCAGAGAAAGATGAAGAGATTAGCCCAACAGGAAGTTGGTTAAATGGGTAGATGTATTACACATTTTCATGTGTGCATACACACACATTACTGTTTAGAGTTTTATCAGCATAGCAATTGTACATTTTAAGACAGGAATGAAAATACCGGTTTGGTCTGATGCCCCACAAATGTTCCATAGAACTGTCCGCAATTCATAGAGTGACTTTTTAAATAACTCCTCTTCTTGGCAACTTTTAGTTCTTTAAGATGAAACTGGTTCTATATTAGGATAATGAGGAGTATTTAGGACCAAGTCTAATAATCAGGGCATGAATGCTTTTGCACATATTCACACGACCTGGAAAGCTACACTGGATTTGGCAGTAAGGGCCGCCACACCCAGGACCTAGGGCATAACTATGATCTAAGAAGTAGTTTGGACATGCCAAAATGAGGACTCAATCTGGGCTTACAGCTAGAAATCAACAAATGGAGAAGAGAAAGATTTCCTTGACAGCAAGAGTAGGAGAGCCTGGTGCAGACAGGAGCCAGTTTGACACTGAAATAATGGATAGACAAAATGTACCTTAAGGAAATTTTGCAAAGCTTCTTGTACAGTTGCGGATGGTATTTTTCCAAACAGAGTAGCAGCCATTTTTTTCTCAATCCAGCTCAGTTTGGAGACCTGCAAATATAGAGCAAATCACTCTTAGAAAGTTGTTCACCTTTTGAATGAATAATCTCTCCCCAGTTAGATGAGTGTGAGATATCACCTTTATGGTATTAATATTTTGCCTTCCTTTTTTCATAATTCTAACAAACTGTGAGCTCTAAAAGCATTGGTTACCAAACCAATTCGAAATACTCATAAGCTTTGTGTCCAATGAGGGAAAAAGGGGGTGGGGGTGGGGAATTAATGCTGATCCTCTTTGTTCATGTGCTTCTTGATCCTAAGATGACACATAGTATTTCTTTGCACAGGGTGTAGTAGCTACAAGACCCTACCTTTGCTCTCTTGCCACCTTTTCCATGCTGCCAACCTGACCCAGAATGCAGCATCTCAGAAATGTAAACAGAATGAGGATCCTTAACCCACGAGGAGTGTACAGTGAGGGCCCGGTATAAATATTTATAATTCAGGAGAATTTTTTTTAAACCCGATCAACACCAAAATTAAACCTCATATTACCATTTGTTTTTTTGCTTTCTTTTTAAATTTTTTCACTTTTCCCAAATATGAATAATAGATATATAACATAAAAGATTAAAAGGATTCAGGGGACTTCCCTGGTGGTACAGTGGTTAAAACTCCACACTTCCAATGCAGGGGGTCCAGCTTCGATTCCTGGTCAGGGAACTAGATCCCACAGGCATGCTGCAACTAAGAGTTCTCATGCCACAACTAAGGACCTGGTGAACCACAACTGAGGAGCCCACCTGCAACAACTAAGGAGTCCAGGTGCTGCAACTAAGGAGCCAGCGAGCTGCAACTAAGGAGCACACGTGCTGCAACTAAGAAGCTGGTGAGCCACAACTGAGAAGCCTGAGAGCTGCAACTAAGGAGCCCGCTGGCCACAACTAAGACCCAGTGCAACCAAATTAATTAATTAATTAATTAAATATTAAAAAAAGATTCAGAAATGAATTCTTAAAAGGGTACTATGCTCTCCCAATGCCATCAAGTGTCTTCCTTCCTAATCCCATCTTCTAGGGTTCTACGTAGCCATTAACCTCTATTTAAAAAAAAATTATTCCATCAATATTTTATAATAACTATACATGGAGTGTAACCTTTGAAAATTGTGAATTACTATCTTGTACACCTGAAATTGACATAACATTGTACATCAACTTTAGCTCAATAAAAAAAGAAAAGAGGTACAAACTACTATATATAACATAAATAAGCTACACGGATACACTGTACAGCAAAGGGAATATAGCCAATATTTTATAACTTTCAATGGAGTATAATCTATAAAAACTATGTTCACTATGTTCTACACCTGAAACTAAGATAATATTGTAAGTCAACTATACTTCAAAGAAAATACGATCCCCCCAAAATTATTCCCTCGCTTTTCTATATGTTAATTTATTGCTATGCTTATTTTTGCTTTTTTTGAACTTGAAAAAAAAGATATGTTGTTTATTTCCTTCTTTGACTTATTGTTTTCACTTAGCGTTATAGTTTTAAGATATTGTCCAGATTGATGAGAGTAACTGAAGTTCAGTCACTTAAACAACTCTGAGATATTCCATCATTTAAACACACATCAACGATTTTTCATCCACTTTTTAAAAAATTGTTTACAATAACAGATAATTTATTATTCAACAAAAACTGAGGCATAAGGACTCAAGTAAAGAAATTAACACAAAATATTTTACAAGGGACCTTGAAGACAGAGCCCAACTAAAACAAAATTAATGTTTTACCATATACTACAATAAGGATTGAAAAAACAAATTTTTCCATTCCACATTCATAAATACATTGGATTTTTTTTTATATACAGCAGGTTCTTATCAGTCATCACTTTTACACACATAAGTGTATACACGTCAATCCCAATCGCCCAATTCATCACACCATCCCCCCAACCCCCCCCGCCGCTTTCCCCCCTTGGTGTCCATACGTTTGTTCTCTACACCTGTGTCTCAATTTCTGCCCTGCAAACCGGTTCATCTCTACCATTTTTCTAGGTTCCACATATATGCGTTAATATATGATATTTGTTTTTCTCTCTGACTTACTTCACTCTGTATGACAGTCTCTAGATCCATCCACCTCTCAACAAATGACCCAATTTCGTTCCCTTTTATGGCTGAGTAATATCCCATTGTATATATGTACCACATCTTCTTTACCCATTCATGTCGATGGGCATTCAGGTTGCTTCCATGACCTGGCTATTGTAAATAGTGCTGCAATGAACATTGGGATGCATGTGTCTTTTTGAATGATGGTTTTCTCTGGGTATATGCCCAGTAGTGGGATTGATGGATCATATGGGAATTCTGTTTTTAGGTTTTTAAGGAACCTCCATACTGTTCTCCATAGTGGCTGTATCAATTTACATTCCCACCAACAGTGCAAGAGGGTTCCCTTTTCTCCACACCCTCTCCAGAATTTGTTGTTTGTAGATTTTCTGATGATGCCCATTCTAACTGGTGTGAGGTGATACCTCATTGTAGTTTTGATTTGCATTTCTCTAATAATTAGTGATGTTGAGCAGCTTTTCATGTACTTCCTGGCCATCTGTATATCTTCTTTGGAGAAATGTCTATTTAGGTCTTCTGCCCATTTTTTGGATTGGGTTGTTTGTTTTTTTAATATTGAGCTGCATGAGCTGTTTATATATTTTGGAGATTAATCCTTTGTCCGTTGATTCGTTTGCAACTATTTTCTCCCATTCTGAGGGCTATATTTTCATCTAGTTTATGGTTTCCTTTGCTGTGCAAAAGCTTTGAAGTTTTGTTAGGTCCCATTTGTTTATTTTTGTTTTTATTTCCATTACTCTAGGAGGTGGATCAAAAAAGATCTTGCTGTGATTTATGTCAAAGAGTGTTCTTCCTATATTTTCCTCTAAGAGTTTTATAGTGTCTGGTCTTACATTTCGGTGTTTAATCCATTTTGAGTTTATTTTTTGTGTATGGTGTTAGGGAGTGTTCTAATTCCATTCTTTTACATGTAGCTGCCCAGTTTTCCTAGCACCACTTATTGAAGAGACTGTCTTTTCTCCATTGTATATCCTTGCCTCCTTTGTCATAGATTAGTTGACCGTAGGTGCGTGGGTTTATCTCTGGGCTTTCTATCTTGTTCCATTGATCTATGTTTCTGTTTTTGTGCCAGTACTATATTGTCTTGATTACTGTAGCTTTGTAGTATAGTCTGAAGTCAGGGAGCCTGATTCCTCCAGCTCCATTTTTTTCCCTCAAGACTGCTTTGGCTATTCGGGGTCTTTTGTGTCTCTATACAAATTTTAAGATTTTTTGTTCGAGTTCCGTAAAAAATGCCATTGGTAATTTGATAGGGATTGCATTGAATCTGTAGATTGCTTTGGGTAGTATAGTCATTTTCACAATATTGATTCTTCCAATCCAAGAACATCGTATATCTTTTCATCTGTTCATATCATCTTTAATTTCTTTCATCAGTGTCTTAGTTTCCTGCATACAGGTCTTTTGTCTCCCTAGGTAGGTTTATTCCTAGGTATTTTATTCTTTTTGTTGCAGTGGTAAATGGGATTGTTTCCTTAATTTCTCTTTCAGATTTTTCATCATTAGTGTATAGGAAGCAAGAGATTACTGTGCATTAATTTTGTAGCCTGCAACTTTACCAAATTCATTGATTACCTCTAGTAGTTTTCTGGTGGCATCTCTACGATTCTCTAGGTATAGTATCATGTCATCTGCAAAAGTGACAGTTTTACTTCTTTTCCAATTTGTGTTCCTTTTATTTCTTTTTCTTCTCTGATTGCCATGGCTAGGACTTCCAAAACTATGTTGAATAATAGTGGTGAGAGTGGACATCCTTGTCCTGTTCCTGATCTTAGAGGAAATGCTTTCAGTTTTTCACCATTGAGAATGATGTTTGCTGTGGGTTTGTCATATATGGCCTTTATTATGTTGAGGTAGGTTCCCTCTGTGCCCACTTTCTGGAGAGTTTTTATCATAAATGGGTGTCGAATTTTGACAAAAGCTTTTTCTGCATCTATTGAGATGATCATATGTTTTTTATTCTTCAATTTGCTAATATGGTGTATCACATTGATTGATTTGCGTATATTGAAGAATCCTTGCATCCCTGGGTTAAATCCCACTTGATCATGGTATATGATCCTTTTAATGTGTTGTTGGATTCTGTTTGCTAGTATTTTGTTGAGGATTTTTGCATCTATATTCATCAGTGATATTGGTCTGTAATTTTCTTTTTTTGTAGTATTTTGTGTGGTTTTGGTATCAGGGTGATGGTGGCCTCATAGAATTGAGTTTGGGAGTGTTCCTTCCTCCGCAAGTTTTTGGAAGAGTTTGAAAAGGATGGGTGTTAGCTCTTCTCTAAATGTTTGACAGAATTCACCTGTGAGGCCATCTGGTCCTGGGCTTTTGTTTGTTGGAAGATTTTTAATCACAGTTTCAATTTCATTACTTGTGACTGGTCTGTTCATATTTTCTGTTTCTTCCTGGTTCAGTCTTGGAAGGTTATACCATCTCAGAATTTGTCCATTTCTTCCAGGTTGTCCATTTTACTGGCATAGAGTTGCTTGTAGTAGTCTCTTAGGATGCTTTGTATTTCTGCGGTGTCTGTTGTAACTTCTTCTTTTTCATTTCTAATTTTATTGATTTGAGTCCTCTCCCTCTTTTTCTTGATGAGTCTGGCTAATGGTTTATCAATTTTGTTTATCTTCTCAAAGAACCAGCTTTTAGTTTTATTGATCTTTGCTATTGTTTTCTTTGTTTCTATTTCATTTATTTCTGCTCTGATCTTTATGATTTCTTTCCTTCTGCTAACTTTGGGTTTTGTTTGTTCTTCTTTCTCTAGTTCCTTTAGGTGTAAGGTTAGATTGTTTATTTGAGATTTTTCTTGTTTCTTGAGGTGGGCTTGTATAGCTCTAAACTTCCCTCTTAGAACTGCTTTTGCTGCATCCCATAGGTTTTGGATCATCGTGTTTTCAGTCATTTGTCTGTAGGTATTTTTTGATTTCCTCTTTGATTTCTTCAGTGATCGCTTGGTTATTTAGTAACGTATTGTTTAGCCTCCATGTGTTTGTGTTTTTTACGTGTTTTTCCCTGTAATTGATTTCTAATCTCACAGCATTGTGGTCAGAAAAGATGCTTGATATGATTTCAATTTTCTTAAATTTACTGAGGCTTGATTTGTGACCCAAGAAGTGATCTATCTTGGAGAATGTTCTGCGTACACTTGAGAAGAAAGTGTAATCTGCTGTTTTTGTATGGAATGTCCTATAAATATCAATTAAACCTATCTGGTCTACTGTGTCATTTAAAGCTTCTGTTTCCTTATTTATTTTCATTTTGGATGATCTGTCTATTGGTGTAAGTGAGGTGTTAAAGTCCCCCACTATTATTGTGTTACTGTTGATTTCCTCTTTATAGCTGTTAGCAGTTGCCTTATGTATTGAGGTGCTCCTATGTTGGGTGCATATATTTATACTTATTATATCTTCTTCTTGGATTGATCCCTTGATCATTATGTAGTGTCCTTCCTTGTCCCTTGTAACATTCTTTATTTTAAAGTCTATTTTATCTGGTATGAGTATTGCTACTCCAGCTTTCTTTTGATTTCCATTTGCATGGAATATCTTTTTCCATCCCCTCACTTTCAGTCTGTATGTGTCCCTAGGTCTGAAGTGGGTCTCTTGTAGACAGCATATAGATGAGTCTTGTTTTTTTATCCATTCAGCAAGCCTGTGTCTTTTGGTTGGAGCATTTAATCCATTCACGTTTAAGGTAATTATTGATATGAATGTTCCTATGACCATTTTCTTAATTGTTTTGGGTTTGTTTTTGTAGGTCTTTTTCTTCTCTTGTGTTTCCCACTTAGAGAAGTTCCTTTAGCATTTGTTGTAGAGCTGGTTTGGTGGTGCTTAATTCTCTTAGCTTTTGCTTGTCTGTAAAGCTTTTGATTTCTCCCTTGAATCTGAATGAGATCCTTGCTGGGTAGAGTAATCTTGATTGTAGGTTCTTCCCTTTCATCACTTTAAGTATATCATGCCACACCCTTTGGGCTTGTAGAGTTTCTGCTGAGAAATCAGCTGTTAACCTTATGGGAGTTCCCTTGTATGTTATTTGTCGTTTTTCCCTTGCTGCTTTCAATAATTTTTGTCTTTAATTTTTGCCAATTTTATTACTATGTGTCTCGTCGTGTTTCTCCTTGGGTTTATCCTGTATTGGACTCTCTGTGCTTCCTGGAATTGGGTGGCTATTTCCTTTCCCATATTAGGGAAGTTTTCGACTATAATCTCTTCAAATATTTTCTCTGGTCCTTTCTCTCTCTCCTCTCCTTCTGGGACCCCTATAATGAGAATGTTGTTGCATTTAATGTTGTCCCAGAGATTTCTTAAGCTGTCTTCATTTCTTTTCATTCTTTTTTCTTTATTCTGTCCCGCAGCAGTGAATTCCACCATCCTGTCTTCCAGGTCACTTATCCGTTCTTCTGCCTCAGAGTTATTCTGCTATTGATTCCTTCTAGTGTAGTTTTCATTTCAGTTATTGTATTGTTCATCTCTGTTTGTTTGTTCTTTAATTCTTCTAGGTCTGTGTTAAACATTTCTTGCATCTTCTCAATCTTTGCCTCCATTCTTTTTCTGAGGTCCTGGATCACCTTCACTATCATTATTCTGAATCATTTTTCTGGAAGGTTGCCTATCTCCACTTCATTTAGTTGTTTTTCTGGGGTTTTATCTTGTTCCTTCATCTGGTACATAGCCCTCTATCTTTTCACTTTGTTTATCTTTCTGTGAATGTGGTTTTTGTTCCACAGGCTGCAGGATTGTAGTTCTTCTTGTTTCTGCTGTCTGTCCTCTGGTGGATGAGGCTATCTAAGAGGCTTGTGCAAGTTTCCTGATGGGAGGGACTGGTGGTGGGTAGAGCTGACTGTTTCTCTGGTGGGCAGAGCTCAGTAAAACTTTAATCCGCTTGACTGCTGCTGGGTGGGGCTGGGTTCCCTGCTGCTTGGTTGTTTGGCCTGAGGCAACCCAACACTGGAGCCTACCTGGACTCTTTGGTGGGGCTAATGGCAGACTCTGGGAGGGCTCATGCCAAGGAGTACTTCCCAGAACTTCTGCTGCCAGTGTCCTTGTCCCCACGGTGAGCCACAGCCACCACCGCCCCCCCCGCCTCTGCAGGAGACCCTCCAACACTAGCAGGTAGGTCTGGTTCAGTCTCTCCTGGGGTCACTGCTCCTTCCCCTGGGTCCTGATACGCACACTACTTTGTGTGTGTCCTCCAAGAGTGGAGTCTCTGCTTCCCCCAGTCCTGTTGAAGTCCTGCAATCAAATCCCACTAGTCTTCAAAGTCTGATTCTCTAGGAATTCCTCCTCTCATTGCTGGACCCCCAGGTTGGGAAGCCTGACGTGGGGCTCAGAACCTTAACTCCAGTGGGTGGACTTCTGTGGTATAAGTGTTCTCCAGTCTCTGAGTCACCCACCCAGCAGTTATGGGATTTGAATTCCTGTTGCTCCATATTTTTACATCTCATGCTGATAATTTAAAATTTTATCAAATGACTAGGTATAAAATGGCATCTTATTTTATTGTCATGTCCTATTATTTCTAATTCAAGATTTATGGTTTTTAAGTTGTTTTGTTTCTGAATTTCTATTACAATTGCATCATGATCAGAAAACCTATAGGATATCAATTCTTTGAAATTTATGAAGACTTGCTTCATGACCTCATATATGGTCAGTTTTGTAAACATTCAACATATGCTTGAAAATGTGTATCCTCTAATGGCTAGATACATATTTTCATCTATGTTTATTATTAGATCAAGGTTATTAAATGTAAGGCTCCAATCAATGTTTTACATACTTTTTTTACATGCTTTTTTTTGTCTTTTGTTCTATTAATTACCAAAAGAAGGAGATAAAAATTCACCACTACGTGGTATCCTTACTTCCCTTCCATGTCTTTTTATCTCTCCTTCATATTTTCTATCTCTTTGTTCCTCTGTGCTGCTTCCAGGCAACATTTTCAGATTTGTCTTAAAGTTTGTTAATTCTCTCTTTAGTGGGGCCTATCTACTACCAAAGCTTTCCATTGAGTTTTCTTTTAATGACAAATAATATACTTTTTATATCAAAAATTGTTCAATTTTTTGAAATCTACCTGGTCATTTTTGTAGTCTCACACTCCTCACCCATTTTTCCCCTAATTCATTTTAGTTTTAAAAACACATTATGTAGGTAGCTGTTTAATATTCTGTATTCCATGTTTCCAAAATCTGAAGTCCTTTCAGATCTACTTCTGTTCTCTTTTTTTGTTTCTTTTGACTGTCATTTATGATGGCTTGTTTCTTTGTATATATTCTATTATTTTTCACTGTGAGCTCAACTCTGCAAGAATGTTCTAAGGCTTGTGTGTGATAGTACAATCCTCCAGGAAGGATTAGCATTACCTTCTACCATTTGTCCATGGCATGAAGATCAGGTTCCATTTGGAATTTAAATTTCCTTCTTGGGCTTTTTAAGCCTAACTGTATAGTGTACATTCAAGTTCCAGACTCATGAGGTTGGGTTAATGGTTTTTAAATCTTAGGGAAGTCCCCTACCTTCACGAAGACTCAGATTCTTAATATTTAAAACTGGCATAATAAAAACTGCTTACAGGGTTGTTAAAAGGATGAAATGTGATAAGAAATATAAAATATAAAATGCACATCTGACATATATAGCAGTTGTTCAGTAAAAGCAAACCTCCTGCTTCATCCCTAATCCTCTACAAGCCACAATTAAAAAGCGTCCTCTTTTGCCTATCCCAATTGTCTCATTCAGAAAGAGCAGTTCTCTTTAGGATAATTTTTTTATGTAGCTGTTGAGATATATTTTCACATTCTGTTAACTTTCCATAAACAGGTGTCACTTAACACATTGGGTCTTAGACTCACCAGCTGCCTTTATTTATTTCTATATGTCTTATGTCCCCTTCTAAATAAAATTTCTTGGAGAAAAGGACAGCGAGCACATAATTTATGCTTAATAAACTCTGATAAAGGAAAAAAGTTCTCCCACAAAACAGAGCAGTGCACCAATACAGGGTGCATGGGTACTGGTGGCTGATCACCATCTGAGAAAAAGCACATTTAAAGGGAGACAGTGTGACTGCCGCAAGGGGAAATGGAAAGGCAGTAAAGAAAAAAATACATGCATTTATAAAATCATATATTGTGTGTAATTCAATATATAATTATAAAATACATAAATTTATAAACTCAAAATATGTACTGATTTCATCATTTTCTCTATAGCAGGCACTAGGTAAAACAATAAAAGAGTAAGTCACTGAAAGTATATCATATAATCAGAATATATTCAAATAAGCTTTACAGATAAAAGCTTTCAACTTACAGTGTAACAGTATCTTCCCTTGAGGTAATACAAAAAGGGTTCTTCAGGTAAAAATTCGATTGCTTTATCTAGATGCTCCTGAAAGAAAATCCAAAAGAAATATCTCCCAAGTTTCAGGTGGTGTTGAGTAGAACTCTGCCTAGTAAATTCAAAGGGACTTTATAATGTTGTTTTGTCTCCCTCCTCAATCTTGATCATTAATACAATTAAGCTTCTCAATAACTCAATCATCAAAATGCTCACAACTAGAAAAAGAACTGTGATTATGATTAAATAAGGCTACAGAAAACGTCACCTTAAAAATAGAAAACATCCAAGTCACATTTTTGTCTGCCCGTGACTTGCCTACCTAATACTTATTGATTGAGAGGCAAACTTACAAATGTCATATGATGTGGGTATAATGGAGAAAAGAATAGCAGAACTAGGTGATAGAAGAATCTACTCCCCTGACATTGTCAAATGGTTATAGGGAGCTGGAAAATAAAGAACTCTCTGCCCATTCCTAAAATTATTGACCCTGAGGGGTTATTTACTGAACGATTACAACTACAGGCACATGATAAATAATGAGTATGCGCATTACTTATTTTATTCCTCTATCATGGCAAATTTAAGCCCTAGATTGAATTCTACTTCTACCAGCAAATCAATATGTATTAAATGTTAACTAATTAGTGCCAGCCATGTTTGTGATGTTGGTGTGCGCATGACTAAAAGGCTAACTAAGCCTCTACCTTTAAAAAAGTAATACTCATCTACTATGTGACTTCCTTCAGGATCTATAATAATAATAATAATCCTTAATCACCCAAAGAGTTTGTTTCTTTTTTGGCACAGTGTAAAGACAGTCATTTCATTTAAGGAAAAAAGATAAATTCCTAGAGATAAGTCTATTGAATAATTTGATTTATACTTGTGAATGGAACATACAGCTACAGTAAAACATTTTTAATACCAAGAAATACCTTGAAGCGATATCCATAGCTAATTTTGTTTTGTAAGCCCTCAAACTCGGATACATAGCCACACAAAACCGCATACCTGAAAGGGATAAAAACAGTGGACATTGTGTAAACTTTTAATCAAATACCACGAAATTTAACATTTAAAAAAAAATCTAAACCATTCATTAATATTTAACAAAAGTATTCATATAGATGAATAAATAACCAACGTTTGACATGAACATGAGGCCAGTTTCCTCAGCTATACCTGGGGATACTAACACCATCTATCTCATATGTGTGCTATGAGGGTAAAATATATAAAACGTAATCGCTTACAATAGTGTCTGGCCTGGAGTGAGTTCCAAGAAAGATTAGCTGCTGCCATCACCTTCATCAACATCAGAGTCACAAAGAGACCCTCAGAAAAGTCTATTCACATAAGTATTAAACTGAAAAATACATTGTGTCAACAGATTCCTGCTTCTCTTTCGTAAAAATAAAAAGTTCAAGGCTCCCTTAATGTCATTTGAAAATTAAAATAAATATCGTGACTAAAAACAAATACTAGGGCTTCCCTGGTGGCGCAGTGGTTGAGAGTCCGCCTGCCGATGCAGGGGACACGGG